TGGGGATGTTCCAGAACCATCAGGACACAACCCTGTGCCGCGTGCTCTGGGATGGCCCTGCTGGGGCAGGGAGGTGGCACCAGATGCCCCACCGTGGTCCCTCCCGGCCGGACCCGTCCTGGGATCCCGTGGGGAAGCGCCGCCGCAGCGGAACCCCCGTCGGGGTTGCTGTCGATCACCGGACAGCTGTCGATCACCGCGGGGCTGCCGGCCGGCGGGGGCCGCTGTGGCGGCGGGGGAAGAGGAGGAGGATGCGGGGGAGGAAGACGAGGAGGAAACGGAAGCGGCGCTTCTTGGCGGCAAGAGAAGACGGCGGTGCGGGACGGCGGGAGCAGCGGCGGGGGGCACCGGCGGGGAAGGGCGGGCCCCGGGTCCGGTGCGGGAGGGCCGGGCCGGGTCGCACCGGAGCGGCCCCGGTGTGCGGCGGCCGAGCCGCTCCCTCCTTCCCCCAGCTCCGGTGCCGCAGCCTGTCCCGGGGCTCCGTCCGTGCCGGGGTGGGGATGGAGCTGATGGACGGCGGCAGCATCTCGCTGTGGACCGTGGTGGGGGCCGTGCAGGCGCTGGAGCGGAGCGTGGCCGCACACGCGTCCCGCCTGCTGAGCCTGGAGCACCGCGCCGGGAACGCCGAGAAGAAGCACCTGGAACACGAGAAAGTGATGGGAGAGTTGGGCAACCAGCTGGAGAGCAAGTGGACGGCGCTGGGCAACCTCGTCCAGGAGTACGGGCAGCTCCAGCGGCGCCTGGAGAACATGGAGAACCTGCTGAAGAACAGGAACTTCTGGGTGCTGCGGCTGCCCCCGGGCGGGGAGGTCCCCAAGGTAACAGAAGGGTCTCTAAGGGGTCTGGGGGACACACACCCTGCTCTGCTCCTCAGCTCTGCCCGGCAGCCTTTCCTCGTGGAAGTCATTCCATGGATCCTGCCGGGATGCAGGGGCACCAAGCAGGGAGCAGTCGCTCCTGTATATTGTTGCATTGGGCTGGGTTTCCCTACAAAAGGGCGGGTTGACATGTTTTCAGCAAAAACAGGAGGTTCTTCCCAACTCTGAGATTCCCAGTAGGACCAGTCTCCACACAGGGGGAAGTAAGAATATTGTGGAATTCCCAATTGAGCCCCCAAGGATTAGCAAAGAGCCATTACTCTCTGTGGCCGGGGGATGCCCCAAGGCAGGAATTTTCCTTCCCTGCTGCCTGGTGGCTGGGATGAATAGGAAGGAGGATTCTCAGTGTTCCAGGCGCAGTGCTGAGCGTGTGGCTTTTGGGATTGCAGGCCCCGACCCTGGTGTTGGAAAACGACGCCACTGGCTTTTCGGCTCAGGAGTGGGAGAACCTGGAGGAGTGGCAGAGGGAGCTGTGCAGGAAGGTGCTGGCAGGGAAGAGCCAAGCCCTGGTCCTGCCGGGTGAGTGTCGCTGCTCCAGTCAGTTATCGGCGCTTCCGGACTGGCTGGGAGTTTGGGGAGTCTTTCCCACACGTGGGAAGCAGATCTGTGGGAACACGGAGAGGCCGGTGTGTGTCACACCCTGTCCCGTCGGTCACCTGCGTGCCCGGTGCCAGCACAGGCCCCTTCCCTCAGCCCAGGGGTCCTTCCTGGTTGGAGTAGGGTTGGCTGCCGGCCTGGAAGCCGCTGTCTCCCGGTGAGCCACGCAAAGGGCTCTTCGTGCTGCCAACCCGGGTGTTGTAGCCGATGGATCTGGTTCCAGGAGCGTGTTCCTCCCTGTGGATGCAGCATGGAAGCATTCCTGTCTCTGTTCCTTGTCAGACGATGCCATGTCTGAACCTGCCCTCCTGTCCCGGCTCCCGGGAGGGGAAGTGCCCTGCAGTGAGGACGAGGTGGCTTCCAGGGAGATCCCAGAAGATCCAGATACAGGCAAGAGATGAGTTAAAGCTTCAATCCCGGGATATGAGGGTCGTGTGGTGCTGTCACCAGGCAGGGGCTGTCACAAGGGATGGTCCTGGTTTGCTCGGAGGGAACTTCTCAGATCCCAGGAGAAGCAGGTTCAGGGGGAGTAACAGAGAGTGAAAAAAAATGTAACAGGTTTGATTTTTAGGATTAGAGATCAGGAAGGAATTCTTGCCTGTGAGGGTGGGGGGGCCCTGGCACAGGTTGCCCAGAGAAGCTGTGGCTGCCCTTGGATCCCTGGAAGTGTCCAAGGCCAGGTTGGAAAGGAATGTGGCTGTCAGGGATCTGGTCCAGAGCAGAGAGAGGGAGAGATTCCATACTGGGAGAGATGGAATGCAGCCTGGAAAAGGGGAGACAGAGAGGGGGACGCAGCACAGGGCTGTACCTGGTGAGTGGAGCACAGCAGGAGCTGAAGGAATCCAGGAATGAGCCTTCAGACAAGCGGGACAAACTCTGCTGTGGCAGAGTCATGGAATGGTTTGGGCTGGAAGGGACCTTAAGGATCATCCAGTTCCACCCCCTGCCATGGGCAGGGACACCTTCCACTATCCCAGGTTGCTCTGACCTGGCCTTGGACACTTCCAGAGATCCAGGGGCAGCCACAGCTTCTCTGGGCAACCTGTGCCAGGGCCTCCCCCCGTCCCAGGGAAGGATTTCTGTTGGATGTGTGCGAGCCCAGAAGGCTCCACTCCCTCTGGCTCCTGTCCTGTGTCCTCCAGAGCACACCTGCTCTTCTCCTGGGATTTCTCCTGTTTGGTGGCTGCACCCTCAGGAGAGCTGTGCTCCAGAGCAGTGCAGCTGCTTAGGGAAGTCACCAGTGAGCTGGGTTGGCTCTGTTATTCCCAATAATAATGGTTTTGATGGTGTTTTCTCTGCTGTGACTAAATCTTGGATGTTTTTTCTCAAGCCCCTTGTGTCGTGTTGTCACCTCTCCACTGTCAGTCACTGCACAGTGGGGAGGGACACTCCAGACAGGAGGCTGATCCCTGCTTGGATGAAACGGCCTCGAGTTGTGCCAGGGGAGGTTTGGGTTGGAAACTGGGACAATTTCTCCCTGAAAAGGGCTCTGCCCTGGCAGAGCTGCCCAGGGCAAGGGTGGAGTCCCAATCCCTGGAGGGATTTCAAAGCCATGTTGATGTGGCACTTGGGGACATGGGTTAGTGGTGGCCTTGGCAGTGCTGGGGAATGCTTGGACTCCATGGTCCAAGAGGTCTTTTCCAACCTTATTGGCTCTGTTAGGTGATTTTGCCCTCACACATGGCTCTCTGTTTGCAGTTTCCATCCTCGACCTTTGGGTGGTTTTATGCTTGAAATGGGATTCACTTTGCTGTGAATGAGGGTGACAAGGCCACGTTCTGCTTGGGGTTGTTCTGATGTGGACCAGGACACGCTCTGCTGGAGCCTCTGGATTTGCAGTGCAGTGACTGAGGGGGATTTGCTCTGGTCCTGTCACCTCTGAGCACCCCTGTGGTGGCATCGCCACCTCTGTGGTGTTCCCAGTGCAACCGAGCCAGGAAACCTCTTGTTTGGTTTCTCAGCCACTTGGGTGGGGAGAATTGCCTCTCCTTTCACACTTGGGTTTGTATTTCACAGTTGCCTTCATCTCCCGCTTCTGGGAGCTTGGGATACGGGTGGCTTTTGTTCCTGGGGATCAGCTTTCACCAGATCCCAAACCATTGCTGCCCGCTGCTTGTTTTCCTCATCACTAATTGGGCTTTAGTCCCTTCCCTAATTGGGTCCTGTCCCTTGCTGCTCCCAAAGTGTCTTCCAGGGGGAGGGTGCAGCTGGCTGGCTCATCCCCCCGGAGACAGCGATCCCAGTGCTGCCGAGGTCTTGGATCCCATGGCTCTGGAGAAGGTCCGTGTGGGGTGAGCCCCTCTCGCTGCACTTATCCATGATTTTCCCCAAATCAAACCTGTGAGGACAGAGAGTGTCACCTTTTGTCACTCCTCAGGGTTGGGTGGCCAATTGCTGCCATGTCCTGACAGGCAGTTTGGGTCTGTGCAGTAAGTGGATAAACTAATCAGATCCCCAGTGGTTTTCTGTGGGTTCTGGTTAAACTGTTCCTATATTTTATATATTTTCTTAAACTCAGCCTGTGAGCCTTCAGGGCAGGGAATTTGTTTCTGTCTCTTTGTAAAGTGCTGATTAAATTTGCAGCGGTAAGGACTTGATGTTTAATAAAAATAACATTCGACTTGTCAAGTTCTAAATACTTCTTTTTTTTTTTTTGATCTATTTTTACTTTTCAAATCATTTTACCTGCTGCTGGTCTGCAGTACCATAACTTATGGATGGAGAGGCAAAAATTGTCCTCAAATCAGAAAAAAAACAGTCGGGTTTAATTGTTTTTAATTTTTTTTTAATATCGTGAGCGGGAGAATTGTTTTCTGCATCTTTAAGTGAGATGCAAACAGGCCTGAAGGGTGAGAATGTCTAAAAATAGTGTGTAAATAAGCTCACAATACAATTCTCACCCAGAACACATCGATCCTGCTGCCAGCAAAACGTTGTCAGTGTTTTAGTTGTGATGGATTTAAGTCCAGGAAGAAAAAAAAGTTTAATTTCTGTTTTGTTTTGTGTTTTTTTTTCTTTCTTGGTGTGTTTCACTTGTGTTTTGACAGCCAGCAGTTGTTGCCTCCTTGTTCTGGAACATGATTTCAGGGGGGTTGTTGCCCTCCAGAGTCATAGTGTAGTAGAATATTGCATTTTATAGAGAGAGATTTAAACCAAAATGTAGAGTGTGGAGGGAAGGGAATTTGAAAATAAACAGAATTAACACATGGAAACACCTAAGTAATAATGACCTCATGATTATTTAGGTCACCCTGAGCTCTGCTTCCCGGTGAAAAGCTTATCCTTGCTGGTTCCAGTGTAAAATTTGGGTTGTCAGACAAAATACTCGATTGTGAAGAGCATTTTTAGTGTGTTGTTATCCAGGAACCCCTGGGTTCTGCAGGCAGGCAGATGATATGAGTCGAGTTTTTTCCTTCCCGAGTTAAGTCAGGAATTAACAGTACATCTTGCACCAAAATTTCACAGAGAGGTCCAACCTTCTGACCCGATGGTGTCATGGCAGCATCTCACAATGGAGCTGTTGGGTTCTTTCTGCATTTCATCTCCTTGTGGATTTACTTGTTGGATACGGAAACCAACTTCCAGTCACAATCCCCTTTGTCAGGTCTTACTCAGGAACAAATGAGTTTTGAACTATCCCTAAAATTTTGGCTGATTTGCTGCTTTAGTACAGGAAAAAGGGAAATTACACTCCATGGTTTTTGTTCCAGTCAGAACTTGGTTCATTTTATGGCTTAATTTTTGTTATGTTCTTAGTCCCTAAATTGCAGAGTAACGTAGAGGCAAAGGCTTTATGCTGCCAGAGGGCAGGGTTAGATGGGATATTGGGAAGGAATTCCTGGCTGGGAGGGTGGGGAGGCCCTGGCACAGGTTGCCCAGAGAAGCTGTGGCTGCCCCTGGATCCCTGGGAGTGTCCAAGGCCAGGTTGGAGCAACCTGGTCTGGTAGAAGGTGTCGCTGCTCATGGAACTGGATGATCTTTTAAGATCCCTTCCTACCCAAACCATTCTGGAATTCTGTAAGAGCAGGACGTATTCTGGGATAAAGATGCAAAGTTGCAGCTGCATAAAGCAGTGGAGGGACTCGTGCAAATCCCTTGTGACCAGAACATCCCGAATTTAGTTCAGATCACTCCAGCAGCTCTCCTGGATTGTTCTACAAACAACCAGAGGTGCCTTTTCTGGGCTGTTTCTGTATTTTGTGTTTCATCCCTCCTTGAAACTGCCTTTGATACCCCAGATGATGCACAGTGAGTCACCATTTCCCCATTCCAGCACATCTCTCCTGAATTTCAGAGACAAATATGTGTATTTATACCAAATCTCAGAGCTATTTTGAGATTTGTGTTGTTTGAATTGCAAAATTGAACCCTGATTTCAAGACAAAATGTGAAGTGGCTCAGAAATGTGTTGCTTTTCCAAGACTGAGAGGAAGAGGAGAAATGGTCCCTGTGCACGGGTAGAGTGATGCTGACAGGAATAATCACAGAATCAGGGATTTGTTGTGGTTTGAAAAGGCCTCGGAGACCATCAAATCCAAGTGTTCCCCTAGCACTGCCAAGGCCACCGCTGACCCATGTCCCCAAGTGCCACATCCACAGGGCTTTGAAATCCCTCCTCGGCAAACTGATGGAGCAGGAGCAGGGCTGAGGAGATTCCAAGTCCCCACAGCTCTGAGGGGAGCCCAAACCCTCGCACCTCTGAGGGGATCCCGATTCCCCATGATTATAGAGGACCCTGTGTTCCCATGGCTTTTGGGAATCCCGCACCCTCATGGTTCTGAGGGAATCCTGCATCGTCGTGGCTCTGAGGGGATCCCGTTCCCTCACAGCTCTGAGAGGACCCTGATCCCTCATTGCTCAAGGAACCTGTGCTGTCACAGCTCTGTGGGCAATTTATCCCTCAGGGCGCTCTGGGAAAGCCGGATCCCTCACGGCTCCGAGTGGGCCCCAATCCCTCACAGTTTTGAGAGGATCCCTGATCCCTCATGGCTGTGAGGAGACTTCTATCTCTGACTGCTCTGAGTGGACCCCATTCCCTCACAGTTTTAAGAGTATCCTGTATCCCTCATGGTTCTGAGGAGACTCCTGATCCCTCACAACTCTGAGTGGACCCAAATCCCTCACAGTTCTGAGAGGATTCCAGGTCCCTCGTGGCTCTGAAGGGACCTTGGTCTCTCATGTCTCTGAGAGGACTCCCAGTCCCTGACGGTTCTGAGAGGATCCCAGGTCCCTCATGGCTCTGAGGGGACCCCAATCCCTCACGGTTCTGAGAGGATCCCAGGTCCCTATGGCTCTGAGGGGAACCCAATCCCTCACGGCTCTGAGTGGACCTTGATCCCTGGCAGTTCTTAGTGGACCCAAATCTCTCACAGTTCTGAGAGGGCTCCGATCCCTCACAGCTCTGAGGGGATCCCAGGTCCCTCACAGCTCTGAGGGGACCCCGATCCCTCCCATTCCCGATCCCTCCCGGTGCCTCCCGACCCCGCGCCCTCCCGCCGGGGGGCGCTGCGGGGCGGGGCGGCAGGGGGCGCTGCGGGGCGGGCGCCGGGGCCG